TGGAATTTCAGCAAAATCCCTTTTTCTAAGTATTCTATCTTCATTTAAAATTACCAAGCGATAAGTAAAATAGGAATGGCTAAGCGGCTGAGCATCAATTTCGACACTTAGCAAAATTTCGTGAGTACGAGCAAGTTACTCACGGGCACGTTTCCACACAGGCGAAATACGCCTTTTTGTTTACCAGTGAAAATGAATCACAGTAATTAATTCATTAGGCTCGGTAGACAAAAAGATGTGTCTTTGAGCTAGACCAAAGCTTGTAAACAATTTGGTGTGCAATGTGTAGTTGAAAATGCGAAAAATAAGGCATGATCATGAGAAACGAGTAATACAGAAAAAAGACTGAGACAAACTTTCATTTAATTACACGGTCCAAAGGTTTAACACCACTGATCTTTAACAGGATTCATAAATCCTTGAAAAATCCTCAAATTTCAATTTTTTTGGTTTACCTTATTACATGAAATTTTCGCGACATGTTTATTTCGTGATTCTGATGTGCTCATATTTCGCGACACTTACATCTACTTTTTCTTGCGTCAATTGACCATAACATTATTTTGATTTTCTCGCGTCACTTTAATTTCGCGATTTTTTTTGCATCGCAAAATTCGCGACATTAGTTTTGAAGTATTGAACTAAGGGTAAAAAGCTATATAAAAACTTCTTATGGCTAAACCTCCCTGATAACCTCGAATTGGCCAATTAAGATCTTTTAGATTGAAAACTTAATCTTTGAAACAGGAACTTAATTTCCCTTCTGAGCTCAACCACGTCTTCCTCTGCGTAATCGGGTCTCCAAGACGCCCATGCCAACTCACTGACAGGGTAGCTTTTGAGAAAATCTGTAACGTTTTTCAGCAAGTACGCACCACAGTCAATATTGTTAGTTTGCTGGGGAACAACTAGATATCTGGTACCCTGAAATACTAAATCCTGCTGCGAAGAATGCTTGGCACGCCATTCGTCTTCTAAGTACCGTTTAACCGTCCTTTCCACGTGCACTCGTGGAATTCTTTCCGCATTTGCAGAGTCCAGAATTGTCATTGAAACTTCAGGCAAAACCATCTTGATTATGATCAAAATCCAGTGGTCATTATAACACACTGGGAGGATCACAAAGTCTTTTTCGAAGATGTCTGTTCTTTTTGTCCAATGCCTTGTTGTCTGTGGGTTAAAGTTCCTTTCTATTTTCGCGTAAAAACACGAATTAAAAACATGCAAATCGTCCCTTTTATCCTCCTCTACCAGAGACGTAATCGAGTGCAAAATAAAGAAGTCCACGGTGTTGTCGTCTAGCTTCTTACCTTCCTCAAGGTGGCACAGGGATGTACTGAAAATCTCACATTTTCCTTGAGATGATGCCCACGAAAACAACTTCATGGTTGGAATAATAGAGACATTGCTATCTACGCTTTCAACTTTTCTGACTTTCACGATGAGTGCCTCAAACGATAAATCCGTATCGCGTGGCAAAATTGTTTGCTTTTCCACAAAACGTCTGACGTAATTTGCAAGTTCACTCGAAGACTTAAACTTTAAGACCACAGCAGTCCCGTTTTCATCAACGAAGCCCTCCGAATTTCTTGCATGCGAATCTACTAGACACCAAGAGGAAGACTCCTTGATGCAACCAACGCAGTAGTCCAAGACTCGCAGCACCATGCCAGTCGCACCTTGGCACTTGCTGAGGGCTTCCTCCAATGTAGGAAAATCATTATCAGGGTCATCTTCTTTCTTTAAGGACCCTGCCACGATTTCTCTGCCCTCATTACTAAAAGTATATTTTAGCATCGTGAGGCCATTTGGAACTTCGTCAAGTGTCAATTTCTGATCGCCATTTGGATCCTTCTTTAAATGGCACAGCTGGTAAAAGTGAATCTTGTCTCCTAAAAGCAAAATCTCGTCAACATTGGTCGACTTCCAGGTGTCTACAGACTTTATTGTACTGTAAAAGATGGCCGCTATGGCAATAGCAGAACACTGCTGCCCTGGATAATGAAATGAATCATGACAGCCTTGATGAAAAGTTCCTCGACAAATCAAATTCGGTGAATTGTTGTTCGAAACGGAGTAAAAGCAGCTCTCGTTCTCAGAGTGTTCGTCTGCGTTCACAGACAGGTCTTTAAGCATTTTACGAAACTTGCTGCCGTCACACTTCTTGATGTTGCGTTTTCGCTTGGTGTTTTGCCTTCTATTTGTCAAATTAAGCAGAGGGGTCTTGTGATCTTCTTTTAGCAGACTGTTTGAGTCTGCAGATATCGAGTTTGTGAATGACAGAATGGAATTGGCTGGGTCTTCTGAAGAAAGAACATAATTCGACCACGATGTTGGTGTTTTGGCAGTCGGTTTACGTTTGATAGGCGAGGTTTTCAAGGGTGAAGCTCGCTTACGTTTCCTGCTAGACACCTCAAACAGACATCGTCGAAGTTTGGGAACGCGCATCTTTGTAGTATGAGTTGCTGATGGCAAAAACTTCTCATGTTTGGGAGTCACAGATGAACAGCGCGATTTGCCTTTACTTTCTCTGACGTTGGACGTTTTGGGAGATCTTTGCGTCTGAGAGGTACTTGAAGAGGGCAACAAAGCCGCGGATAACTTGGAACGGTTCTTTTTACCTTTACGGGCCTTAAAAAGGTTTCTGCGAGTTTTCTGGGGCACTCGCACCTTTTTTGCCTTCCGTGCACGCGGAGTTTCGCTTTCCAGCCATTTATACTCTGCCATCTTGTGCTTGATAATATTCTCCCAAGTAGTATCGTCGTATTCAAACTTTGGTTGATCAGATTTTGACACCACACAGCATTTTTTTCATTGTCCTCATAAGATAGGAAGTCTTTACACATAAACGTAGAAAAGACCTCGTCCATGATCTCTATCCAACGCTTGCGTGCTACACTCCATCCTTTAGTACTAATGCTGGGCCAGCCGCATCCTCTGAAGTAAAATTTCTTTCCTAAACAACAAAACAAATAGGGATGGTTGAAATAAGCACTCATATGGTTCTACTTAAAACTGTAAAGGCATTCAGGCATTTCTTGTGTAATTAAAAAATCTTATGTGCTGTTTCAAAATTTATTTGTAATCCGGCTATTTAAACAAATGACTAGCCAGTGTCCGAGTTTATAAAACGGACTATTTATCTTCTCCCTGCTCTCCTGTTGTTCACCGTTATAATTCACATACACTACACTAGCGATATGGAAGCATCATCCAAAAGCCGCAAGAACACTGAGATATTCAGTGATGTGGAATCATCATCCAAAAATGAAATTGACATATACAGAATGTTCATGGCGCTTCTTAACTGAACTGCCTTACCTTTTCTGGCACATTCTTTGGCTTTTCTAAAACAAAGTCTTAAAAACAGGAGCTTTTCAGCATACTGATGGGTTAAAATCTGGTCCACTGAAAAAATAAAAATAATGGAAAACTCAACCGACCCTCTTCAGTAAAACAGTCGATTATTAAGCGGACATCCATTCAGGATTGTTTTAGGTTCCAAGGGCGTAGTCAGCTCGCAGGACTAGTACGCACTGACCTCACCAACACTTTAAGCTCTTAAGCTTTTCACCTCACCCCAACAAAGTAATATATAGATTTAGCCAGGGCTAAAAGCGAGGCTCCCATTAGTAAATTTATAATTTAAATTAAACAATAAACTTGTATTCGAATTCCACAATTCAGTCAACTTTAGAGCACATTTATGTGACTTTTGAGGGAAAGGCTACCTGATTTTAGAGAAAAATAATTTGCAAACAGCCCAAGAGTGAACCAAATCTTACATCGAGTTGATAGCCTCATATGTACACTCAAAAACTGGTAATCATCTTTTATCACATTTAAGAGCCGTAATGGCTATTGATCACCGTAGATCAATTAGGCTTAGAAAAAAAACCAGGCCAACGTTTTGGCGTTCGACAAGTTTACTTTGCAAAATCTTGCCAACAAATCTGGGTGCGTGTGAACCAACCTTTCATACCATGGACAGAAAGCAGTATTTCACAATACAAATTGATCTCATTCAATATTCATAAACTGTTAACAAAATTTTCCAAAATCACCTATACGGCCATCCGGTTCTCACTTTTGTAGTGCGAGCTGTAGCGAGTGTTTGAATGAACATTAACAGAGTTACGCTCCAAGATAATAAAGAATTTATCATGTTTATTTTTTATTTGATGGTTTAACGCGCGGCATTTTGAGAACTCCTGCAAGCGATGTTCACTGAACGACTGAAAACAATCGGCATAGCGATTAAAATTGCAAGAGAGACTACTAACAATCAATAAAAGAAATATAATTCGGTGAAACATAAACAGAGACAACAATTTCATTCAGGAAGACAAGTATTAAAGTGTCCCTAAATATCCTGAATCTTCAAGCTTAAGTTTGCTGAAGTTTATGTTTTAAGCCAGCTTCCCGGTGTTTGTTTTTTCAAAGACGAACTCGAGGCAAGAAAATCGCTCAAAGCTTTCTTTTCCGGCTAGAATTATAACTAAAGATTCTTTGGAACATTTTCTTTCTATTTGCGGTGAGAAACTGTCTAAAGGCTTTTTAAAGTTCTGTAAGATTATATCAAACCAGATACTCGGTGAGATCGTTGTCTCAAATCTTACAAACGCGCATAAACTAAATTCCCGCATAAACTACGCTCCACTTCATTAAATTAGATACAAAAAACAAACATGAAATACAATAATTTCTCTGGCTTACCATTCGAGATGCAGCTCCTGAAAGTTATCAGGTAAAGCCAGTATCGCTTCAGACTTTGCAATCCTCTTACGCATCAAGCAAGGTGAAAACGAAAACGATGCCATCCGAAATCGGATTTCCGACTTTGACAAGCGACGTTTTCTCAACCAAAAACCCAATAAACAAACTAGCCATGAGTAACAGAAGACTCCTGATAGCAGCTGAATTTCATTTTGTACATCCAGTGGAAAAAGACAGTTAAAAACATCACAAGTTGACACAAAACTCTGTCAGCTTCAGCTGTTAAAGTAAACAAGATTCAAGATGCTGCATAAATTTTGCGCATGAACTCACCTGTCAAATTTTGACCAATCAGAGCATAAAAATTGGACGTAGAGCGTGACCAACGCGTGACCATTGTGAGAAAAAACAAAAGCAACTGTCTTCCCTGCCTGTAACAGCTGGCTGAATTTTCACGTCCGAGGTCAGTTTGCAATCAAAATTTTAATTGTCCAGCACATAAACACAACATATTTCATATGAATTAAGAAAAAAAATTGAACTTGAGCCTGCGATCACTTGAAAACTAGTTTACTTGTCAGCGGATAACTTCAAAAAATACTTGACCTCGACGGGTCGACACCTGAGCCCGCGATACGGTCAAGTGATACTGGTCAGCGGGTACTCTGTTTTGACAGCTGTCAATTGATCAAAACATTGATGTCCAATATGTGTGCATTATCAGTTTTCCTGTGCTCCCAAACTAGTAAAAGTATGAGATTGAACGTTGTTCGCGATCTAGTAAAACAGTTAACTGGTCAGCGGACAGCTTCCAAATAAATCACGTCACCTCGATGAGTTGGCCCCTTACCCCTGCGATATGGTCATGGGATACTGGTCAGTGGCTATCCTGTTTGGACAGCTGTCAATTGACCATATTGTTAATGTCCTATATTAAAGATGTGGACTTGCCAATACACGCCTGAGACACCCCTCCCTTCCTTTTGATAGTCTCCCCTACCCCACCCATACAATCTGTAGACGCGTACGTACGTACGTACGTACGCTCGGTCAATCACGTGACAACCAAACGAAAAGAGGTTGACCATATTCCATGGGTATGGGGCTCTGTCCCACGCGCGCTTCGCGCGCGCGGGAGCCCCGCTATAATTTATTACAAGCGGTAGACTGATCAAACAAAAACTTTGTAGGCACGGGCCTTAAGGTTTATGGGCTGGCTACGCCAAGTCATCGTCCATCAAAAACTAGAATTAAGATAATCGGAAGGATACGCAAATTAAAAGTGGTTAATTATGCTTCGACACAATTACTGGCAACTAAATGAATAGTTAAGATCTATCAAAACTTAATGTTACATATGATAACGTACGAGAAGTCGCTTCGCCGCTTCCGTCGTGATTTGTTGCCCTGCTGAATATCTGTTTTTGCAGCTTATGAGCAGCCTCAAAACCTTGGTTGCTGTAATGGCGTAATGATCTAAAATTCCGGAGAAGCATGGATGCATGTTCAACAGTTAAATGGCCGTAGTCACCGGTCCCGAGGCCCAAACCAAACAACTCTCTTAGGCAAAAACCCCATTCTTTGCACTGTAAATACAAACACGAAAAGAAGAATACATACATACATGCATAACCTTTATTTTAACAAGAATTTTAGAGTAGCTACACTATAATAGCTAATATCCTCGAGAAACAAAGTAAGATCTCTAAAAACTGAAAAAAAAACACAAAATAAGACAAAAAATAGTGAAAACTAATCAAACGCATTAAGACTTTGCACAGGTCGCTTAAAATCTTTAAAAGTACAGTTCCTTAATTTGTCAGGAAGCGCATTCCATTGCTGGGCGGAAAAATAAGAAAAAAAATGTAGTCCATGGGTTGTCTTTCTAGGCTTGCTTAGAGTCAACATATGGGTACCGCTCAAATTATAGGTTGTATGGCCAACAGTAAACATATTCCTCCTGGACGGTCATTAAAAAATAGACTCTTCTAAACAAGTATTAAGAAATTCTGAATGCGCTTGTTATACAAAGAAGTCATTTCAACCTGGAGCAAAGTGGTGTAGTGTGAAGTCTAATAATTTAAAATAAATCTAAGAACGATTTAGCAATAAAATAGTTTTTTGCTTTTGGTGAAGTTGAAAGAGAGCTCAACAAAACACAGGCAAACCTCCAAGTCGAAGATGTCGATTTCTTCTTCCATGTTTTCGTCAAAAACACTTTGCCGCATGATCTTGGCAATCTTACGCCACTTGCAAAAAACCTTTAATGGAAAAAGGTTTCAGAATTCGTTCAATAATTCAACTAGAACTTCGTTGTTAATATAGACATAATTAGATAGTACAGGGAGTATTTTAAATAAAAATGCAAAACGACATAAAACGGTAATCAGTAAATAACAGAACGGCCCTTTATTCCACAATAAAGATCATATAGATATAGTAAACACCAATGGTTATAAAAGAGACATGTGCAAAAGCAGAGAGTACCTCCCATCCCCCACACTCGCTCTTCCTCGTACGCAATTTCGCGTCTTCGCTTTTACATTTAACATTAAAAAACGGAAAGAGTGTGAACTGTAACTGAGCTTAAGCATAATTCAATAGTGATCGTTAGTAACAAATGATACTTCCGGTAACGTTGCAATCACATCGCGTTTTCTGAATGGCCTATTATTCAAACGACAATATTTCACCACAAGAAAGCAAAAAAGACAAAAGAAGTATACGCAATTTATTCTAGGTGTTTCCGGTGTTCTTCCAAACTTGAGTTGGGGCAAGTCAAAGAGATTCAACTTCATAGTGCAGCTAGCTTTATTTTGAAATTATTGATCTTGCCTGGAAATGTTACCAGCTAAGTTGTTAAGGTATCGAAGGAGCTCTGATAACCGAAAGAAAAGAAAGACGAAAGAAAAAGCCGAAAACGCAAAAAGAAGACGAAGTCGCAACGCTCGTGCAACAGAAGCCGAGAAAGCTCCAGTAAACCCTGAGAAAACTGACGAAGAAGGTCTTGAGTCCCGAGTCAACACAACGCAGAATGAAGATGAAATTAAACTACTACAAGCAACAGCTGAGCGCTACCATAGACACGCACTACATTTCTTCGGTAAGTGGAAGGAAGCAGAAACGGGAACATTGCGAGTGATCGAGGAGAGGGATCTCACAATGATGGAGAGGGAAATTGGTCGAGGGTGTTTTGGAACTTGCTACCTAGCAAAGTTCGGCGCACGCACAGTTGTGGTGAAACAACAGCAAAACTGCCAGGCAAGTAGACAAGAAGCCAGAATGACCGCAAGACTAAGCCATCCAAACACCGCCTGCTTCATTGGCATAGTGGAGAGACAAAACAGAGTTGACATAGTGTCCACGTTTTACAACATCAATGGCGAGCGTTTTAATCTTGGTGATATTCGTAGTGAAAATGCTACCATTAACTGGAGTCACCTTTTGGGCGGTCTTTGCCGAGGAATAAGACATATTCACGACAAAATAAAGATCCTGCACAATGACATTAAGTCAAACAACGTAGTTCTAGATGGACCCAGCTTAGCAGAGGCAGAAGCTGTGCTGGTGGACTTTGGGAAAGCTACTGACCAAAGCAATCCTAGAATATATCAAACGCCCGCAGACACCAAGAAATTTGAACACCTGGCACCCGAGCTAGGACAGCCGAACGGTAGACAGAGCAAGAAAACGGACATTTATTCAGTAGGATTCCTAGTAAGGGGGATGAAATACAAATTCATGACTCGCTTCCCGACGACTTATGTCAGTCTTTATCGGTCATGTCTTCGCTCCAACCCGTTACAAAGACCAACAGCCAATGAACTATGCGAGGCGTTTGATTGGGCGAACAGTTGACTGTTGAACTTAATTCAGTGCTGACGTTGTAAAGTAATCTATTCCGCTTATGCCAGGAAAAAATGCAAAAAAATGTTGTCACTTTGCTGAAAACATAGCTGTCCGTATTAAGCAATTAAGATCTTTTGTCTTCTGGTGAAATATTGTATTAAAGAGTTGTTGTTCTTTTAGAAATGGTGTGTTGATAAAAATTAAAATACCGTCAAAAATAAAATTAAAAAAGTTTTACTTTTATCGTTAATTATCTTAAGCAATCTTACTTGTAGTCGCAAGTACACCAAAAGTCAATACCCTCGTCACGAAAAGGCTTATCAAGGCGAAAATATATTGTTTCATCGAAGAAAAAATCAAATAAAAAATGTGTGAGTCACCAACGCCTGTTTTAAACGTCAAACTTCACATAATCCTAAACAAATGCAAATGAACAAGAACAAAAGATTTTCCCATTAGTATTCAATTCGGAGCAATGGAAATTTAACGTTTAAAGCCGGCTGAACTCTAGATATGCGATCAATTGGCCATTCATTATTGTTGTAACTAGGGGTAAAAAAAGCACGTGCGTGAACAGACTTTACAATCGGTTGCCACTTAGTGTCTTGTCATGGCGTTCACGATCAATTGCAGTAAGTGCAACAAGCAATTTAAGACGGGTTATTCTGCGAAGAAGCATTACGATCATAGCCACTATCAGCACCCCTATCAAGGTGGGATATTCAGGGACTCGCGAGGACAAGCGCTTGTGAACCAGCCCAAAGCTTTACAACTGGATAAAGAAGAAATGCCTCACTATAAAATGTGGTTGGCATTAGTAGCCGAACAAATTGTTGGGTCCTTAACTCCAAGCGGTAAAGGTGAGAAATTTACAGATTTTACAAAGTCTATTAATCCCTGCATAAGGCAATAGAATTCTCTAATAAAATTGAAACTTCTGGTGTAATAGCGAAATAAAAGTACATTCCATTCTTTTATTTTTTTTTTCAGCTGGATGGCAACAGATACATGAAGTTCACGTTAAAAAGAGTCACTTCGAGCATCTACTTTTTAGCTTAGGCGGCCCACCACTGTACCAGGTGCGAGATGTAAAGCACCACAAGCAACCTTTACATCACGATATTAACCGTAGGTTTTCCTACAGAATATATGACGCGGAAGTGGTTTTAAATGCACTGACAGAACAAGAGATTGTAAGGATCCAGACTTCGGCAGCGTTTAGGTATGGAGCACAAGTCAATTTTCAACGTTTCACAAGTACAGAGGAAGCAGTCGAAGCAGCCAAACAAAGAGCATTTTCGCGCTTTACGACTCGTGTTCAAGGTGAGCAACAAACACCAACAAGCCGTTCGGAAATTGTTGTAAATGCTGGGGAAGGTAGATCAACAAGAGAATTGGAGTTAATATGGTGGCCTGATGTGTTTCAACATTGCAGAGACTACGGAAAATTGACAGTGCGTCTGTTTGTTTCAAAGACAACGTTTAAACGCTAATTTCAATAAACAACCGCAAGTTTCGCCTCCCTTTGAGTTCATCCCGCTCGGGTTCAACATCTGGTTTCGAATTAAAGAGGAGTTAATGACAATTAGGGTTAAGTTTATTGTTACGTTTGTTACTACTATACACTGTACGAAGGTTGAGTCATGATAAACTCTAAGGCTTATCAGTCATTTCGCCCCTCAGTAATTTCGCCCGATAACTAAGCCCCGTTATTTTTGAGTCATTAAGAGCGCACCAAATATAGTTTTCCTCATTCTATAAGCCATAAACCTTTAAAGCGCGCTTCAAATATAAAACATCTCGTTCTAATATAGGAGGCACATTAACCGGGGCGAAATGATTTGGGGGCGAAATGAACGTAAGCCCACTCAGAAGGGCAAAACCAACATCACCATTATTAAAGCAAATGAAGCAGGCCGTTTAGATACAAGTCGTTTCGATACGAACTTTTGCAGCCAAACTATATATAACTTTCGACATAAAAAAATGTTGTCAGCGTGTTTACAAGACTAAACAGGCATGAATTCGTTCTAAAGGTTAAAAGAACAATGGATAAATATCGGGCGGATTGTCTAAAGTTCAAGCAAACTGACATCGGGAGAATGCCCTTTGGGACGAAATGACCTGTTGCTGCAGCGAACCTAGTATGAAGCGTATGAAGTGACTAACTCGAAGGAAACAAAAGTGAGAAGAATGGAAACTAGTGTAAAGCTCTCGGTTACTAGGGCGGAGCCACTGGCCTTCCCTCAACTTAATCGACTCACATCGAAAAGACTTGGCTATTAATGAATTGTATCGAAAGGAAAAAAACAGAAGGTTAACTTACATTTCGGTAGGCATCTAGTTGATACTCAGCAACATAATTTTGAACTTCGTCAGGATACTTCTTGTTTTTTTGAAGGATGGTTAGTTTTGAAACAACTTCTTGCTGCTTTCCAGTCCAAAATGCCAGCTTAGCTTTTATTTCCTGTTTTAGGAGAACTAATAATAAGGTTCGCGTTAAAAGTGTATTATAATCAACATTTGTAAAAAGTCAGAGAGTAAATTTTCACTAATTACCATAAAAAATTTAAGAAACATCCCATTCTCGTTTTTCAAAGGGTTTATAATATTTCATGCTTTTCTCATGTAATACACAAAAATATATTTGCAGTAATTACAGCCTTTTAACTGTGTAACAGGCACATTATAAAACTGAAAACTGGTCCTGATGTATGACGCACAGAACATGTAAGGGATGGGTAAATAGGTTTAAACGCAACTTGTTAAGTAAACAATCACCACTGTAATTATGTTGGTCCACTTTTACCTGTATCTTTGATGTCAATTGTGACTGAGTGGGTTCCCCAATCTCTCAAAAATGTTTCTGAATTTTTCAGATTAGTGTAATGCTAAAGAAAATAAAATTAATTAAAAAACAAAACAAAATAGCAACAAATATGATAACACAAAAATAACCATAACAAAATAACAATACTACTAATAAAAAAAATAACCACAACAATAACAACAATCAGAACAAAAATACAATACTAGGCTGCATCAACCACTGAAATACTTTTCCTCAGATACTCTGGAATAATGAACATAATATATATTATATTGAACTGTGGAGTTAACAAATCAATTAAGAGAAGAACATTTGAGATACTCTGTGAGAAAATTTTCTCAGGTAGTTAGAAACCTAAATTAGGAAAAATAATTAACACATACAAAAAAGATAGACAATTCTGGCCAAGAATTACCTGATCAACTGCAAAAATTTCTTCATGTTTTGTATCCCAGAAGCGCTCGGGCATTACTATGAGTGCCAGGACTTCAGCCTGGGTGAACCAGAAAGGATCGACAACATTTCCCTACATCGAACGTGACAGAATAACTATTAATGTTATATATCCCAGAAGCGCTCAGGCATTACTTTGAATGCAAGGACTTCAGCCTGGGTGAACCAGAAAGGATAGACAACATTTCCCTACATCGAACGCCATTGAATAACTATTAATGTTATATATCCCAGAAGTGCTCAGGCATTACTATGAATGCCAGGACTTCAACCTGGGTGAACCAGAAAGGATAGACAACATTTCCCTACATTGAAAGTGACCGAATAACTATTAATGTTATATATCCCAGAAGCGCTCAGGCATTACTATGAATGCCAGGACTTCAACCTGGGTGAACCAGAAAGGATAGACAACATTTCCCTACATCGAACGTGACCGAATAACTATTAATGTTATATATCCCAGAAGCGCTCAGGCATTACTATGAATGCCAGGACTTCAACTTGGGTGAACCAGAAAGGATAGACAACATTTCCCTACAGTAAGCATGATTCAGTAACTAATGTGTACCAGAATTGTCAGACATTATGTTGAACATAATATGATTGACAAAAAAGTGATTAAACAGAACTATAAATTCCAAAACAATAA